GAGTTGCCATGCCTGAGAAGTTTGATGGTACAAGATCCAAATTTTGAGGATTTATCAATCAAGTACAACTTGTGATTGAACTTCAACCTCAAAGCTATTCAATTCTAAGATCACAAGTTAGATTCATTGGTACACTTCTTTTAGGTTCAGCACTATCGTGGTTATGTCACGGACATACAACTGAAGAAAGTTCCAGAAGGTTCTAATAGGATCTAAGAAGACTCCAAAATGTTCTAGGAAGTTCTAGAAGGTTCTATTGGATTCTAAGAAGATTTTATAAAGTTCCAATAGATTCTAAGAAAGTTTTAGAAGGTCATAGGAAGGTTCTAAGATGCTTTGGTTGATTTAAGAAGTTGTCAAAGAAGGATCTTAGGCTTGCTTTATTTCTAAGCTTTATGGAAACTTTTCAAGAAGCTTCATAAGACCTAGTATATATAGGAGTCAAGATTGAGGAGATCCTTAGTCTCGACAACTTATTTTAGGTAATCTTGTCAGGACCTTCTTCTCTTATATCTAATTATTGTTCTAATTTTGAGTTAATTTTATTTTTTTTAGTTTTGGATCATTTTTTTTATATGATTTTTAATAATTTTTATCTTTTCTTGAACGACGAGATGCAATATTAGATAATCAAAAATTATTTTTGGTAGAATTACAGTCCATGTGTGGAGAATATGATGTTTCTTGTATTACAATTAATAAGATCCATATTTTCTTTTAAGGCAATTGGTGTGTAACATTATATGCTTTACATTTTGAACAACTTACAACTGTTATCAAGTGGAATGATGTAGCACTTATCAACCAATTTTTTTTATGGATTATAATATGAAATAAATAAATTGATGCTTAATTTATATGATCCTCAAACATTGAGTCAAGCAATTGACTTTGTTGTGAAGTGCGACAATTAACTTTTTAAATTTTGATCTGAGAGTCACATAAATGGGCCTCAACATTACTACAATTTGATGGCAATACCAACATGTCCTCAACACATACATTTAGAAGTAGAAAATATGCAAATTGATGCGATATGTTTTAAACCTCTTTCCGAGCAAAGAAAGACTTGTCATTGTTAAGTAAGTTTATGCTTATATTGTAGAAATCCTAAACACACTACTCAACATTATCCAAAGAAGTGATGAAACCACAAAATAAGGAGTACAGTTGACAAAATAGAGAATGTATTAGAAAACAAATTTATCCAACTACAATAGGGACCGTGTGGCTAGAATCTTATACAATTTCTTATAAAGGTCCTATCCTTTCTTTAGAATCCTCTCTTTATTTTATAATAGATGTATATTTAAGACCCAATAATTATAAAGCCTTTGCCTTGATAGATTCAAGAGTCTTAGCTTGTGACGTAGAATTTGTTAAAAGTCCTAAAATACTATTAGTACAAAAAACTAAACATGTTCATATAGAAGTCATAGATAATCATTTGTTGTCTTTAGGAGATATTACTTCTAAAATACTTCCTATAGATGTAATAATAATTGGTCATAGTAGTTGCATAATCTTTAATATAATAAGATCTCGTTCTAGTCTAATCATTTTAGGTTTATCGTGGTTGGAGAAGTATAATCCTTGTATAAATTGGATTTCTCATACTCTTAACTTCTTTAAAAGTATAATTAAGAGTGAAATTAATCTAGTAAAAAGTCATAAGACTAGCACAATAAAACTTGTGTTTGTAGATACAAGAACTTTCTTCCATGCTACAAAAGAAGGATCACCTTGTGTCATTTATGTCACACCTACTTCTAATGATGCAAAGACTTCAAGTGGCATTCCCAACCAATATCAAGAGTTTCAAGATGTATTTGAAAAGAAGAATGTGGATACTCTTCCACAACTTTGTTCCTATGACTAGTCAATTGACCTTCAAGAAGGAGCACAATCGCCATTTGAACCAATCTATAGTTTATTATAAAATGAATTAGCTGAACTCAAGGAATATATTGAAGAGAATCTAGCCAAGAATTTCATACACCATTTCAAATTGCGAGCATGAACTCCAATCTTATTTATAAAGAAGAAAGATGGATCATTGCGGATGTATGTTGATTATCAAGGACTCAATAAGATCATCATCAAGAATAGGTATCCTCTACCTTTGATATCTGGACTTCTTAATCAACCAAATCAAGCTAAGATCTACAAAAAAATAGATCTATGGAGAACATACAATCTAGTATGTATTAAAGAAAAAGATGAATAGAAGACTACGTTTTAAACTAGGTATGGGCATTTTGAATACAACGTCATATCTTTTGGACTTACAAATATACTTACATTGGACTTTCAATATCTAATAAATGATATTTTTTGAGAGTTTTTGGATGATGTTGTTGTCTCTAATATAGATAATATCTTGA